TGATTATTACTGGGAATGATAAACAGGAAATATCACAACTACAAGACTATTTGGCTACTGAGTTTGAGATGAAGGATCTAGGTGGACTCAAGTATTTCTTGGGAATTGAGGTGGCTGCTACTCAATGCTTTTCAAGTTGAGGGGTGAGGATAGACAATGATACATCCTCCTTATATAGAGATCCTATCCCACCTACCACAAAAATGGAGGGCTAGGATCGATACAATCTAATGATCTGTAATCTACCTACTACTGTACATTGAATCTACACATGTGGGCTAAGAGATCTAGACTTATCCATCCGACGAGCCGGGCCTTGAGCTTCTCTTGTGGAGCTTGACCTTCACAAATGGATCCTCTAGGTTGGCCCAATAGTTGTTGGGTTGAGCCTTCAACATGCGGGCCATGACACTTGGGACTAATTCAAGCATCAAAGACTACCAATTTAATTTTACTTCTGAACAAGGAACTCCTTTTCTTTTCTGAGTTCTGCAGAGGCTTTGCCACAGATGAGTCACTTTGCTTGAAGTAGCTTCTCCTTCACCATATTACAGCATATAAGTTTTCTTTAAGAAACATATAGGTCCTGACAAATGACACAGTGCTCTGAGATCAATCTCGCCATGACGCTTCCCTCTCCAATGGCCAGCTGTCTACTTCGTTTGTTCCATAGGTGCACAGCGTAAGTCTCACTTGCATTTAGCTCATTTAGTGTGATTTCCACCGCTCTTGACTCCGATTGCCTCTCGGGCTTCCTGAAGATCCTGTGTATCCTAATCCAGTCCAATGGATAGAATGCCTCAGGAGGCAAAATTGTAAGGTTATAATCCAGTGACCTTCCACTCCTTTCTAGTCTAGCAATTACTCTGGAGACCAAGTAAGGTCCATTGTGACCCCATTTGTTCCCATTAAAAGTTGTAGCAAATTCTTCTAAGAAGTCTAGCAGAATTGGATGGTTTATGTCAAAGATCATCACTGCACCATTTAGCCTTTTCCAGATTTTGGACTCTGAATCCAAACTTTGTGCTCCAATTGCATTCCTCAACCCAGATAAATCCTTCAGAATTATCAAGTCTGTGTCCAAGTAGATACCTCCATATTTGTATAGCATTGCAAGCCTAATCAGATTTGATAGGTTTTGAGATAATGGGATGTAACCTGGGTCTGTCCTGCCACTCTTTAATTCTTCAAGCCAAGACTCAGCTGGTGTGTTCTTGACAAGAAAGGGCAAGTCTGGTGCGATTGCAAGTATTTTGAATCCTCTGTCAAGTAAAGGCTTCAGGATTCTGTACCCTCTTGCTGAGTCCATGGAGTTTGATATGATCATCAAGCATCCTTGAGGGTGGGATTTGAAGAGGGTGTCCATGGTCAAGAAATCTCTTTCCCCAAATGACTTTGCTGGTGAAAGCCATACCATGTAGAATTGAAGGCTGCATCCATGGTTGTGGAACTCGAGCACTCGACTGTGGAACTGCTGTGACAACTTGTCTGACTTGATTATCCCTAGCTCCGGCAGTTTTCGTCGGAACCACACAAGTCTTTCCTCTCTTGTGGCATTTTCTGGAGGAACCAGAGGATCACGAATTTCATCTTCAAGTTCCTCAATCTTCGCTTGAATTGAAGGCTGTGGCGTGCTCTGCTCAGTCGTCAAGGCTGACTCAATTTGCTCTTGAGCCACTTGAGTCTGGACATGATTATGGTCAAGAACTTCATGACTTCTCAAGTCAATTGTATGCATGGGAAGGTTGGAAACAAAGATGTCAGCGTAGATGATGAAGAAGATGGCAGCAAATGAGATGGTGGAGAAGAGGGAGGATTTCGCGGAGCGGCTAAGCTGGCTGTGATCCAACACTTTGTGAGACATTCTTTTGACTGTCATGAGTGTAGAATTGGGAGAGGATTCTTTTGGAGAAGGCATTGATCTTGATGAGGAGCCCTGGTGATCAAGCCAAGTGGTATTTATAAGTTTCTATTTAGTGTATGATTTGAACCAATGGTGTGGACGAGCTTGAAATGATTTAAACATGGGTCTGATTTGAATCATCTTTGCAAGAATTAGACGTGATTTAAAGCAATGGTGTGGCAAGTATTGCAGTTATGAGGACCAAATATTTAGCAAATATTATGAGTATTTTTTATTGCTTTAATGTTCAAAACAATCTTAATCGAGCTTTCATGGCCATTTTGACAGACATAAATACAAATTACATCCGTGAATCAATTAGGGGGTTAATATATGAAAAGGGCAGATTTAATAGCTACTTATTATAGCTTGTTGATTATTTATACCTCTTACATCATTGGATCAATCAAACAATAATTATCAAAGACAGGGACATGTTCAGATCAATTCAAATCTAGATTTGTTAAGTTGAAGGAATACTACATTCAAAATTATAATTGCTAGTTTCAAATTCCGGCTTGGGACGACAACAAATTGTTGAACATAAATTTCGACAACGGAGTCCTGAGCATTCCCCAGTTGATCATTACCGATGCATTGAGTTCAATGTTGAGGAACTTCATTGCCTTCGAGTAATACGGTGTTAGCAGTACAAATGGAGTTACATCGTACGCATTCCTTATGCAGAGTCTCATAAGTAATACATCAGATTTCAAGCTGCTTCTGGACAAAGAGATCATAGCCCATAATCGGTTTAGCAACCTTGAATATTTGAGTGAATTTGAGACTATTGTAAAGGATGTTGTTCCCGAGGATGACTTCTACTTTGCTAAATTGCGTGACCAAGTGGACAAACACAAGAAGCCCTGGTACCATTTTAACAAGTGTTTACACCATAATCAACCGAGCATGCCTAGAGGACCAACACACGGACAGGACTCATGACCTACCAAAGGCTACAATTGCCTGCCGAAGGCAATTGCCGAAACTCCTAAAACTGCAGAACCTAGAACCCTAGACACATGTCACCACCACAGCAACTTGCACAAAGTCCCACATTGAAACTTTGGACAAACCCCACTTTCACTTTCCTATAAAACAAGAATAGTGCCCAGGTAAAAGGGAGGGGGTAACTACTTTTTCACATTTATCCCTCCGTACCAAAGGTCCACAACCTTCTCTCCCTACAGAAGATCCAACACTCATTTACCTAAGTTGACCCTTCCGAAAAGACCATCAACAACAAGCTTAAAGTGTTTTTTGTGGTGCAATTTCGAAGAGAAATTATGATCATTTGGAAGAATCGTTTCTCTGCTAAATGGAGTTTCTTATCAGTGCTGAGTGTGCTTGCCCTTCTCATTCTCACTTTCTTACAGACATACTATACCATGCACGACCCTTCCAGCTGATCTTTACTTGTCCCATGCTGCTTCTTTGCTTCTTCGCCTGGAGACCATCTAGCCAATGAGTTTATATCAAGCTTTTATTTAAGTTAATCAGTAGGCCTCCCCTAGAAATGATCAGTCTATCTATAATCTTTCGCAGATTTTATGTATGCATGTGCAATTGAAACATCAAAGAATACAAATTTTGCTCAACTTCACCTTCACCATGTTATAGCTAATTGCTTCTTATTAGAAAGGGTCCCAGGGCATTCTTGAAATTCTGTCTACAACGGTGGTAGACAATAGGATAGATGAGCAAGCAAAACAAAGGGTTTTGCTGATCTATATTGAAATAAGAATTCTGGCGTCTTAAGAGCTGCAACAACCACTGCTACTTGCAAGTTCTAAATTTTGTTCTCATATTATGTATCAATTTATGACGATTCTAATTTACAGGAGATAACAAGTCAATAGTTTGAATTATTTAGCAGTCTGCAATATTTTTCCAGCCAAGCATGCAAATTGTTTTGAATTTGAAGGTTGCTTCTTAGGTAAGTGAGGTACGTCATAGCTTCTCGTCTTAGGTTATCTAACAAATTAATCATACGCTGGATGTGTTACGTGCAAAGACCGGGTGCATATTACAGTATAAAAATGCAACTGCGAGCATAATATATGTTTCCCCTCCTCTGTTTGGGGTCAGATACAGGCAAATGCATGTTTGGTACAAATAAAACTATGCTGTATGTTTAGCTTTCTTCTGTAAGAGATGAATATGTCAAAGCTGATTGAGGATTAAACTTAGAAGTTCATGTTTAATTAGGTTTTTTTTTCTCCAACAGAAAAAAGGACAGGGGCATTCATTAGGATGGTTTTGCATAATAGAAAAAAAAAAAAAAAAAAAAAAGACTATTTTAACACACAACAAGCTATTATAGAATTGAAATATTTTTTAACTAATAAATCTGGCAAAGAAAATACAAACCTAATTGTTGACTTGGTATGTTGAGAACTAGGAGTTCTCCAAAAAGAAAAGAAAAAATGATTTGGTAGGGCAGGAGGAGGGAAGTACGATTGAATGAGATGTTCTCTACTTTCAGAAAACATATGGGCATATAAGGGTAAAGTCTATCAGGAAGTATTTTCCGTTGACATTGAAATATAGTTCTTTTTCAGTTGTTGGAGTTTCTGGTTTTGCAATTTCTTCTCTCGTGTGTTAAGTGCGAAGATGGGGGTGCACATTACAGTATAAAAATGAATCTGTTACGTTTTTTCTCTTTTGGTTGTTGGAGTTTCTGGTTTTGCACATTACAGTATACAAACAAATACAAAGAAAACTATACAAACTATTACATATGTTTTGTTTTCTTCTGAGATTAAGATGTCAAAGCTGATTGAGGACTAAAGTCAGCTGATTGAGGACAGAGACATTAGGATGGTTGAGCCTAATATAATAAATTGACAAAGTTTTACACACAACATTTCCATTATAAAAAGGTTCAATATTTCTAACTAATAAATTTAGCAAAAGTTCAAAACTTGATGATTGACTTGGTCTGTTTGAGAACTTGAAGTTCTCAGAAAACAATAGGTTTGGGAGCGCAGAGGAGGAAAGTACGATTAAATAACTATATTTTATCATAATAGGGCTATAAAAGGCAATATTTCGTCCCTCGGGAAGCTCAGACTGGAAGCTGAACGGCAAAGGAAAATCTGCTGAGATGAGTAATGAGATCCTACAACTGGTAAGATGTAGATTTGAGTTTCGGATGCAGTTGTTTCATCAATATTGCAATTTTTTTTTGTAACTTTTTCGAATCGTGCACGTGTCATTTATACTTATGTTGTGTTTCATTGCTGTCCTATAAAATCATGGTAGGAAGCAGAAGCTACTGATAAGAACGAATGGAAGCGGGAGATTACTAAAAAACTTCACCAGAAAGTGGCAACAGGGTCAGAAAACTTGAGCATTTATAAAGTCCCAAAAAACCTTCGAAAAGTCAAGGATGAAGCATACAACTCTCGTGTTGTCTCAATTGGACCCTTCCATCTAGGCAACCATGCCCTTGTAGCTATGAGACATCATAAATGGCATTACATGCAATATTTTTTTCAACGAATAGAAGATCATCCACTATCCCTCCAATGTTTAGAAGTGTGCACCAATGCTATTTATGATTTAGATGAAAAGGTTCGTGGATGCTATTCCGAAAAGATAGACCACATTGATAAGAATGTGCTAGCAGAAATCATGTTACTAGATGGTTGCTTTATATTGGAACTTTTCCTCAGGTATGATCAACACTTAAATATGAAGTTAGAAGACGAATCTGATCCGATATTCAATAGTGCTTGGATGATTGCAGCTCTTCGCCATGATCTGATATTACTTGAAAACCAGATCCCCTTCTTTATTCTCAAAAGTTTGTATGATTCTATGAAGTCTCATCTTAAGGGTACACCGAACTCTGTCACTAGCCTTGCTCTTAAGTTCTTTGAAATGAACCAAAAGTCAACAAAAGAAGAGCCTGACACAAAAAACCATCATTTGCTTCATCTTTTGCACAAATTTTACCTCCCAAATTTAGATTCCACAACAACAAATCACCAACTGAAACGCAGTGTTACAGAGATCCGACCTGGTCATATCTCAATCTCAGTCTCTGTTGAATTGACTTCTCACATTCAACATGTTTCTGCAATAAATCTAACTTCAGGGATTCCTAGACCTGAACAAGCAGCTGCAACCAATATTAAAACATGGGGATTCAATTTTAGTGCTTCAAACCTTTTATGGGCTGGGATTGAGTTTGAAAAAGGGTCGTCGGAGGACCATTTGTTAAACATAACTTTCGTCAAGGGAATAATCAGAATTCCACCAGTGGACATTCACTTGACATCCGATTCACTCTTTAGGAACCTGATCGCTTTTGAGCAATGCAGCCTTAGAAGTACGCATCATATTACGTCGTATTTGATCCTCATGAAGAGTCTCATTAGTTCCACACGGGATATAAAACTACTAAGGGAAAGAGGGATCATAAATCTATTAAATCACAATAGTGTTGGAGACCAAGAATATTTCACTGAATTCAAAACTATATTGGACATGGTTGTTGTGAAGGACTTCTGTTTTGGTAAGTTGTGTGACCAAGTGAATGCATACTGTAAGTCTTGGTTGCCGTGGAGTAAACACAAGATATCGACCAGGGTGCGATTTAGGAGACATACAAACTTCCTTTACCGCACGTACTTCTCTAGTCCATGGAGTATCATATCATTCATTGCTGCTGTGGCCCTTTTCGTTCTCACGGTCATACAGACATACTATAGCATTCACTCTCGCTAATGTAAATTTGTTGGCCATCCATCGAGTTTATCAGTCATTTATGTAATTGATTCCTCTTCTATAATGAGTCTATATATGTATGTTGTATCTAGTTTCACAATTTATGTGTTATTTTGTGGATCCAGAAATGGAATCACTAGAAAAAGGACTTGATGGCATCAGAAAGTTTTTGTAAGTTTGTGCTGAAGTGAAGTGATTAAAGCAATAGGATTGATTGGTTGGTTTGTTTCTCTTTAAAATGCAAGAAACTGCACCGGCTCTAAATGCAGAGGAGCTTTTCTACTAAATTTGAACACTCATCGAAACAGAAATACTAATAACAGATTTATCATGCTTTTGAGAATGTCTAAAACTATATATATAAAGTTGTGATCTTTTTACATTTGAAACTAGAGAAATAGAATATCTCAAACCAAAAAGACAGAAAATAACAAATGCTTGGCAATGCATTAAACAAAAACTTCCCTAGCCTTGGGACTTATTCAAGCATTAAACTACCAATTTAATTTTAATTCTGAACAAAGAGCTCCTTTTCTTTTCTGAGTTCCGCAGAGGCTTTGCCACAGATGAGTCACTTTGCTTGAAGTAGCTTCTCCTTCACCATATTACAGCATATAAGATTTCTTTAAGAAACGTATAGGTTATAGGTCCTGGCAAATGACACAGTGCTCTGAGATCAATCTCGCCATGACGCTTCCCTCTTCAATGGCCAACTGTCTACTTCGTTTGTTCCATAGGTGCACAGCGTAAGTCTCCCTTGCATTTAGCTCATTTAGTGTGATTTCCACTGCTCTTGACTCCGATTCCCTCTCGGGCTTCCTGAAGATCCTGTGTATCCTAATCCAGTCCAATGGATAGAATGCCTTAAGAGGCAATATTGTAAGGTTATAATCCAGTGACCTTCCACTCCTTTCTAGTCTAGCAATTACTCTGGAGACCAAGTAAGGTCCATTGTGACCCCATTTGTTCCCATTAAAAGTTGTAGCAAATTCTTCTAAGAAGTCTAGCAGAATTGGATGGTTTATGTCAAAGATCATCACTGCATTATTTAGCCTTTTCCAGATTTTGGACTCTGAATCCAAACTTTCTGCTCCAATTGCATTCCTCAACCCAGAGAAATCCTTCAGAATTATCAAGTCTGTGTCCAAGTAGATACCTCCATATTTGTATAGCATTGCAAGCCTAATCAGATTTGATAGGTTTTGAGATAATGGGATGTAACCTGGGTCTGTCCTGCCACTCTTTAATTCTTCAAGCCAAGACTCAGCTGGTGTGTTCTTGACAAGAAAGGGAAAGTCTGGTGAGATTGCAAGTATTTTGAACCCTCTGTCAAGTAAAGGCTTCAGGATTCTGTACCCTCTTGCTGAGTCCATGGAGTTTGATATGATCATCAAGCATCCTTGAGGGTGGGATTTGAAGAGGGTGTCCATGGTCAAGAAATCTCTTTCCCCAAATGACTTTGCTGGTGAAAGCCATACCATGTAGAATTGAAGGCTACATCCATTGTTGAGGAACTCGAGCACTCGACCATGGAACTGCTGTGACAAGTTGTCTGACTTGAGTATCTCTAGCTCTGGCAGTTTTCGTCGGAACCACACAAGTCTTTCCTCTCTTGTGGCATTTTCTGGAGGAACCAGAGGATCACGAATTTCATCTTCAAGTTCCTCAATCTTTGCTTGAATTGAAAGCTGTGGCGTGCTCTGATCAGTTCTGAAGGTTGACACAATTTGCTCTTGAGGCACTTGAGTCTGGTCATGATTATGGTCAAGAACTTCATGACTTCTCAAGTCAATTGTATGCATGGGAAGGTTGGAAACAAAGATGTCTGCATAGATGATGAAGAAGATGGCAGCAAATGAGATGGTGGAGAAGAGGGAGGATTTCGCGGAGCGGCTAAGCTGGCTGTGATCCAACACTTTGTGAGACATTCTTTTGACTGTCATGAGTGTAGAATTGGGAGAGGATTCTTTTGGAGAAGGCATTGATCTTGATGAGGAGCCCTGGTGATCAAGCCAAGTGGTATTTATAAGTTTCTATTTAGTGTATGATTTGAACCAATGGTGTGGACGAGCTTGAAATGATTTAAACATGGGTCTGATTTGAATCATCTTTGCAAGAATTAGACGTGATTTAAAGCAATGGTGTGGCAAGTATTGCAGTTATGAGGACCAAATATTTAGCAAATATTATGAGTGTTTTTTATTTGCTTTAATGTTCAAAACAATCTTAATCGAGCTTTCATGGCCATTTTGACAAACATAAATACAAATTACATCCGTGAATCAATTAGGGGGTTAATATATGAAAACGGTAGATTTAATAGCTACTTATTACAGCTTGTTGATTATTTATACCGCTTACATCATTAGATCAATCAAACAATAATTATCAAAGATAGGGACATGTTCATCATTCGAATCACCAAAGCTATTTGCTGGTGTAATTAGGTTTATAAGAAGAAACCAATTCTCGCATTCAAGTGGGCCTCCAATATTGTCATTTCCAACAACACCATTGTTCCTAGAACATGAGCAATTTTAGGGTTTCTAAAATGCATTCAGGATTTGATTAGATCACTAGGCTAGACCCGTTGATTAGAACAGTGATTAAATCTCTGATTGCATGTAAGAATCCCGTAACTTTATTAGTTGAAAGCTATAAAAAAAAAAAAAAAAAATTCTACTTTTTATTAGCATTCATTGGATTTTCTGAGAACATTAAGAATTTTAGAGAACCATTTTAAATTACGAACTGCCCTTTATAATTTATACTTTTATACTTTTATACTTTTTAGTTTTTCTATTGGGTGAAAAAGGCATATGAGAATCTTTTGGGCATCAGCTTTGAAAATGAAGCCCATCATTTTGGGCCTTTGGAGTTAATAAATACAAGCCAAAAGCCCACCAAATGGTCTCTAAAACACTTTCGCTCTCAAACAAGGTTTATCTCAAGCTTATTTCGTTTGCCACTTGGATCCTCTCTTAAACTGTTTTGTTCTCAATCTCGGCAGCTACTACCCATTAACCGTTTCAGACACATAAAATGTAAATTCGTACCCCCGTTTCTTGCTCTCTCTTGCTCTTTAAATGAAGGTAACATGGGGATTCAATTTTTGCACTTCAAAAGTTTTAAGTTTCTGGGATTGAGCTTGAAGTTGGATGCTTTTATGGTGATGGGTTATGCTCAAATCACCGTTTTTTATTTATCAGGGACCATCCAGGCAAGCTGTGTGCAGGTAAAGCTTGGACCTTTGTTACTGGTCTAGTTAGGGAGGATAGAGTATCTTTCAAGTGGCCATGAATTCTCTTTTGCCAAACTTGGTTGCTGGTGAAAACCATATCATGTAGAACTGAACACTACATCCATGGTTGAGGAACTCAAGTACTCGACCATGAAATGAAACTGCTCTGTTAAATTGTTTGAGTTGAGTATCTGCAGTTCCGGGAGCTTCCCCTTTTGTGACATTTTTTGGAGGAACCAGAGGATCAGGAACTTCCTCTGCAACTTCATCTATCTTTTCTCGCATGGAAAACTGTGGCATGCTCTCAGCAGTCAAGGTTGATTCAGTTTTCTGTCGAGGTAATCGAGTGTTGTGATCTTGAAAAAGTTCATGGATTCTCAGGTCAACAGGATGCATGGGAAGGTTAAAGATGTTGAAGTGAGTCTCCTAATTAATCAAGGAGATTTATTTCCTTGATTAATTAGGGGATTTACTTTCCTATTTTATATAGTTGTCAAATCATTGTATAATTAGGAGATATTTTCCTAATCCTTTACTAGATCTAATTCCTTGTAAACTCATGTAAACTCTTATATATACCTCCTTATGGAGAAGAATAAAACAAGAACCTGAACATATTCAAACCCATATTCATATTTTAGCATGGTATCAGAGCAATCGATCCTCGGTTGTCTCTAAATTCTCATATCAAAATTTCTCCTCCCCTTCTCTTCAAGGGGGGAGGAGGAGTGAAAAAGGATATGTTTCTTATTCTCATGGAGATTTTGCCTCTTTCTTGACTCCGACATACCCTTCTCTTCAGGGGGAGAAGAGAATTGAAGAGAAGTTTCTATGTTCTTAAGCCGTGTTCACAGGGTTTCTGTGTCCTTAGCCGTGTTCACAGGGTTTCTGTGTCCTTTAACCGAATTCACAGGGTTTCTGTGTTCTTAGCCGTGTTCACAGGGTTT